GGGTACCCTGGCTGCAGCAAGACTCTGCTGGGATGTAGGAACGTGGCAGAAGGATGTCCAGGGTGTGAAATAGAGAGGCTGGAAGAGCACAGAGCCTAGAGCTGCTGTAATGTGATGCAGCAGAAGCAGACAGGCATGGGCATGGGTGAGCAAAGAAAAGGCAGGGCCTTTCAGGGAAGAGAAGATGCCAGCATATCCCAACAGCATGTCTTTGGCTCAGACACTTCTACAGAATCTAAGCTGTTATTTAACTGAGGTGCTTTTAAAAATGGATTTAGTTTGATAAAGTGATGATTAATCTTCATTATACTCCTCTGTGATCATCACAGCAAAAAGCTGCACTTGTATGTCTGCTTATCATCTCTTCTAAAAATCTTACTGGTAAAGAAAGACTTGATTGATGATTAGATTTTTGTCATCAAATCCCATTTTTGTTTATGTGCAGAAAAAAAGGAAAGCCTCACTTTTGAGGCAAAAGGGAAATGAAAGGAAGCACAATATCTGGGCAGTTATCTCTGACATTCATGTAATGCAGTGTATGTCCTTATGTGACATTTATGTGAGAGCAGAAGAAAAGCATCAATTGAAAAAGGTTACAGGAGTTCTTCAGGCATGAAGTCATCTCCAGGCAGTTTATAAACAGGTTCTGCTCTCACCCACTGCATTCACAGACTTAGGGCACCATTAAACACATTTGCTTGCTGACACTTCTTTAACACCCAGCTTTGAATTTCCCTTTCCAACAGTAACATTAAACCAGGAAATTAAGCCAATTGTTGATTATAGGAAAGAAGTTTGCAGCCCCTGTCCTTGCCATCCTGTCTTCCACAGAGGAGAAAGGCACTGCACTGAGGAGCTGAGCATTGGCATGGGGAACTTTGTCTCCATTTTGCTGGGGAAGTGCAGCTGGCACTCAAGTGAGGTCTTCTTCTGTCATCCCCAGAGATGGCTTTCTGTGAAACTGGGAAGTCAGACAGATGGACATGGGATGAAGATGCAGGCAGAAATGGCAGGGTGAGGACCACCACTTAAACTCTGTACCAGTTTTAAGTTTGCAAAGAAGAAAATTCAAAGCCTTCCCTTAAACAATCATTACATGAACATCTATTTCAGTAGCAGTCACTTCCCTTTTTGTTTATCTCTGGTTTCTAAGCACTGGGATTGACTCATGGCATTTCTTGAAGTTCCTGTTATTTCTACAGGCGTGGCACCTACAATATTATCTTCATTCAGCTCAGAGCATGTCACCCTGCAAAAAGCTGTGCAGGCATCCTCACAGTTGCTAGGTTTGGCAGATCTTGCACAGACAAGGTTTCTGAAGATGCAAGTCCATGTACAGAGGCAAAACCAAGGAGCTGTGAAAAAACTGGCAATATATTGATAGAAAATCACGGCAGAGAGGTGGAGGCGCCTCTGTTTGCATACTCTTGCAGTGCTGTCTAACTTGTCTGAGGTGGTCTGGGACATCAGGTGGTCCCACTTAATGGCTTTCTGTGGAAAACAGCTGGTTTTTAAAGAGCACAACACTCCTGAGTGAGGGTGGCCACGTAACAGTGCTGGAGCTGTTCCTACAGTTTCTTGGTGTGGGCATGAGTTTCCCAAGAGCACAAAAGGTAGGAGTGGAGCTGCCTCCTCTTGACTCCTAGTCATAGTCTGCTGCAGGATAACACTAGTGTCTTCCATCTTATTTAACTGATTATGAGTCTACAAGAAATGGTAATCATGTAAACACAGGTTTTCACTTGGCACGCAGGCAACACAGAGACAACTTACTCCTCCAGGCAGGTAACAATAAGTGCATGAAACATTGTGGGCTCATGAAGTTGCCTAAGTTCAAGTGTCTCCCAATATTATTTTGCAGTGTGTGATGAGGCATTACCTGAGCAGAGTGACCACAGGCCTGTCTGCACATGTGGGAGTGCTGCCAGCCATAAGAGATTCCATTTCAGACATGTCTTCTGTGCAACTTTATTTGCGTTAGAATCTGGAAAACCTTTTAACCCTCACATCCTAAAGGAAAATAATACACACTGTGCAATGTGTAAAGCTGTGTTCAGTTGGTATCGCACAGCGTAGCATTTGCTACAGCAGAAAGCAGCACAGGTATTTATTGCTGTATTATTTGAACCCAGATGCATTTATAATTTTATGAAAAATCTTATTTATTCCCTCATACGGGATGCTTTTCTTTCCAGTCTTGCAAATGCATTCCCGTTTCTCTTTCTTTCTTTCATTCCTGAATTGAGTACATCATCTTCCACTTGCTGAAACTAAAGATGTGTAACACTTCTCCTTCACATGCCCTGGACAGCCTACTCCTGTCTTCTTTAATTTATTTTTTTTTTAAGAAGGAAACATCCAGGTTCCAGGGAAATTCTTTATGAAACTCGTGATTATGAGTGAGGGTGGCAGGACTGTGTCTAATGACTCACAGGTGCAAAGCTCTACAGCCATGGAAAACTGCTTAAAAGCCGCTTGTGTGCCTGTGTGAGAAAGTCTGAAGAGAAACACTCCTCCGACCCCGCAGTTCAGAAGCTCTCGGCGGAGCTTTGGGAGCCTGTGAAGAGGTGGAACAAAAGCCCGGGGGGATGTGCAGGGACCTGCTCCCTCTCCTGGTAACAAGGGCAAAGCGTCGGAGCCGTGAACCCCTTCCCTGCCCCTGCCCCTGCCCCTGCTCCTGCCTGAAGGGGACGGGGATCCCTTCCCCTGCCCCTTCCCTTCCCCTGCCCCTTGCCTGCCCCTGCCCACCCATCCCTGCTCCCTGGGGACCCTCCTAGGGCTGCCTGGGGAGAGAAGGGGGTGGCAAAAGTAGAGACAGAAGAACTGAGGTGCTGGAGCGTGTCCAGGGAAGGGCAGCGAAGCTGGTGAAGGATCTGGAGCTCAAGCCCTGTGCCGAGTAGCTGAAGGGACTGGGACTGTTTAGCCTGGAGAAAAGGAGGCTCCACGGGGACCTATGACTGAAGACACCTACCTGAGAGGAGGCTGTAGCCAGGTGGGAGTTGGTCTCATCTGCCAAAAAAAAGAGCAGTAGGACAAGTAGGGATAGGACAAGGGGTATTGGCTTTAAACTGACAGAGGATAGGTTTAGATTGGATATTATGAAAAAATTCTTTACTGTGGGGGTGGTGAGACACTGGAACAGGTTTCCCAGAGAAGCTGTGGATGCCCCGTTCCTGGAAGTATTCAAGGCCAGGTGGATGCAGCTTCGAGCAACCTGCTCTAGAGGAAGGTGTCCCTGCCCACGGCAGAGGAGTTGGAACTAGATGATCTTTAAGGCTCCTTCCAACACAAACCATTCTGCGGTTCTAAGAATTCCACAAATATGTAACGATTACAACTCTACAATCAGTCATTTCTAGAACAGCTGCTGCTTTAGTATCTGAATTTGAGGGGAGTAACTATCAACTAGACAGAGATTTATTACCACAAACACTCTAAGGAGCAATTCAGATAAATTCCAAAAATTGGAAAGACAAAAGTAACGGCAGGAGCAGCAAGGAAATATTCAGTCCTGTAGCTGCAATGATGCGATGCATAACAAGATCCAAGTTATGTAAAATTGAAACCATACACTAAAAATAGTAAAAAGCAAACACCAAAAGGATCTATTTGGGGGAAAATAGATGTGGCCCTACAAACCTTCTGGACAAGCAGTCTGCAGGAGATTTTGTGGCACCTCAGTGAACTCCCATACTCCTCAGGCATGCTCACACGCTAGGGTACATAATGGGCATCTCACATGGAATTCTGCCTGCTCCACACATGGGCAAAACATCTGGCTGAATTCTGTGCACCTGGCCTCTTCACTGGCTGCCTAACTCCTGGCCTGAGCTTCCTTGGAAACATAAAAGTGAAAGACTTCTTGAGAAATACAGGCATTGTACTTTTCTTATAAAAATGGGTGTTGATGATGGTTCACTCAAAGATGGTTCTTATTCATGAATTTTAGTGCAGCAGGCTGACTTCTCTCTTGGTTGTAATGTGTTAAAGATGATATGGCTGACTTGGTACCATAACAGTGTGTCAAAATATGTTATCACGGTAAGAAATAGAAAACAGTTTCTTGTTGAGACCTATGTTCAGCATTCTAACTGCATTTGGCAGAGCACTCAAATGTTTGTTTAAAACTATATTTATGTCCCACTTATTTCAGTGGGACTGAAATAAATCCCGAATGCTTCACTTAGCTGAGATTTCAGGCTTAGTTTCATAAGCATCCCACATCACTACTGAGTTCAGTGGAAGCTCAGGGTACTTGTTGTCCAGTAAGAAAAATAATATTTTACGAGGTATTATCTTAATGAAAAAAATATGTCTCCTTTCTGTCATGAGTGAAAAAGAGAAGCACAAGGCCATAATATGTTTAGCTGGAATGCAGGGCCATATTCAGAAAGCCTCCAAATTTTGTACATCACTAATACACAATGTTACCAAAAGATGCAATTTCTGGAGGCTGGGAGATGATCTGTTAAAAGAGGAAAATTAATAAATAGAGCAAAGAAAGCAAGAGTGTTGGTTTGGTATGATGCATTTAGTAGTAGTAGTAGTAGTTGCATTTTACAAAGGACATAAATTCCAAAATCATTCAGAAAATGAGATTAATGAGATACACTTCTGAGAGCCAAGGGGCTGGAAGTCCAATGCTCATAATTTGTTCCCTGGCCTAGCAGGCTGCAGGCAGCTGTGTCATTTATGTTTGCCTTACAGACAATCTTTTTTTTTTTTTTTTTTATGTTTGCCTTACAGACAATCTTTTTTTTTTTTTTTTTTAATAGGAGATAACCACCATTCTTATTCAGCCCTGGTCATTTCCTCCACAGATCCTGGTTCTGCTGGAGGGTTTTTGCACTCTGAACTAATGTCTGGAAGGAGCTCAGCTGAAACCAGTTTTTATTATACTGATGTCATCAGGCTGGACAGGAACCACAACACCAATGTTCACCCTACAGCCATCCTGAGGCAATTTCTTTCTATTTTGGACTGACCTGTTATGATACCTGCTCATCTCTACAGATCACTAGATAAAGGTAAAAAACAGAAAAGAAAGCACAGAGACTATGTTCTGTATTTTTCTATTATTTTACCATTCTCATGCTTGGCACTTGAAAAACCCTCTAAACCCTGCCATGGGCCTACTGAGCCAGAGAAGAAGGGTGACCAAAGGGGCCTTCAGTCCATGCATTAGCACCACCTGATACAGTATATCTCCTCTGGGGCAGGACGAGGAAGATGCCTCGGACCGTGACCATCACAGCTGTATGCAGCTGTATCCATCCAACAAACCCAGTGAAGAGCAGGGCCAGAGGGAAACACAAATCCTTCAACAACCTGAGCCATGCATTCTCTGTGCACAGCCACTGAGTTCTTCATTCCCCAATGCTATCGGGCACAACAATAGCCATCCTGATTCAGAAAGCTGCTACCTCTGGCTATATATAGGCCGTTGTGTGCGTGGTTCAACGCCGAGCTCTTCACACACGTTAATATCCCATTGTGTCACGCAAGGCCGTGTCAGCGCTGCCCGCTGGCTAAAGAATACAGAACACAAGGGAGGGCCACAGCCCCGAGGACAGCGATTCACCTGCTCTGCTGTCTTAGAATAACAGGCTTGTGAAATCAGTAGGGCTTGTCATGGTTATGTCCCCGTGTGCCACCGTGTCTGTGAGCTTTGCGGGAGAGGAGCCACCGTGCTACACGTGGATGAAAGCTGCAGTCATCGCCAGAGAGGAGCTGGATGAAGCTCGGATGTCTTTTTGTGAATGAAGCTTATGTCCTGGTGACCCACCTCAGGCAGAGGGGGAAGAGAGGGAATGTTACTAAATATGCATTCCCAGAAGCAAACAGAGTGCAAGCTCATTGTTCTCTACAGAATGCACATGCGTGGAGTGGCCCGGAAAGCACCAGACGCTGCTTGTTAAAAATTGGCATCTCTTCAACACAGCTACCAGTGATTTTTCTGTAAAATACATTAAGAGTCAGTATAAATGCCTTTATGGATTTCACACCACATTAAAAGAAGTGAGTGATTGACTACATTCCCAGTAGCTTATTTTTCATCCTTTGACAGCTGTTAACCAGACAGAAGCATTATTAGTTCAATTTCTCATGCTGTAAAAATATTTGGATATAGGAATTTGGCCAAAATTTTCCTTCTTGTTTCTGGTTTTCTATGAGAGCTGGTTGGATTGTTTTGACAAATCCAAGAGTGTAGCTTGTAGAATCTTAGCACAAATGCTGGGTTCAGAGCCAAGCCTCCAGGTTAGCTAATCAGATTTGAAGCTCAAGGTAAAGAGACACAAGCTCTAATTACAGCACTCCTAAGCAAAGTTTCAGGGTCATCAGGGCTTGAATATGGTTTTTCTCTTCACAAAAATAAGTGCTGCTTATGGGGTGTGGGGTGTCTGGTTCAAAAGAAGGATCTCCCTGACACAGTCAGTAGAGGGCATATGAAAAATTGATATTGAATGCTAATGCTGATGTGAATCTGTTTTTATCTTGTATAGACTACAGACAGGAGAATGTCCATCCTGTCCATCAATCTCTTCAGACTTTATTAGAACTTCTTTATTAAAACTCATAAAACTTCTATCTGTGCATCATCTGAAATTTGCTATCCCTCTAGGCAAACTCCTTTGCAATCAAGTGTTGAAGTTCTTATAAAGTATGGAAACAAAAGATTTTTCCAAATGCCTCAATACCACTGGCAGAGCTTATAGCATCTGCTATGGCCCTCAGGGAATTTACACTACTCAGGCATTATTCATCATTTCACACAAAATGACTGTGAAAAGCAAGGAGATAGTTACACAGCATCGAAATGAATGAACTGCTCTGCATTCATTTCAGAGGAACCAACAGCAGAGTCTGTGTTTCTGACACATTCAGGTGTCACAATCTCCCTCGAGCTCAGGGCTCCACCAGCTCTGTGACAGGAAACCAAGGGACTTTGTAAATCACAAGTGTGTCTGAAAGAATCCTTCATGTTCTGGGAAGCAAACACTTGAACCTTTCCCACTATGGTCATCTGAATATGAATTACACAAGTTCACAGAGCAAACAGAGAGAAAGTTTTGGACCAACTGTAGAAGTACTTTTAACACCAACTTTCATGGGATATGGTTATTTTCAAATCAAGTCTGAGTTTTGAAATGTAAATGTTACAGGTCAAAGCTAAATTATGAAGTAATTTCTGTTTTTAAAATGTTTAATTTTTTTTAACAGACACACTGGAGACAGGCATATTACAGGAGTGTAATGCATTTACTAGTGAGCAGCATAAAATAGCTACTTCAACTCTTAAGTCTGCACTTGTATCATTCTTAAACAACACTAAGTACTTGTTTCTCATTCTAACTAAATATTTATGATTTTATATGCAGATATCTAATGTTCTAAGCAAGCTAGTGGCAGAGAAAATGTACATTCAACTTCCCCTCGACTTTGAGGCAAGTTAAGTTACATGATTCAGGATTCTGCTTTCCACACCATGGGAAGAATAAAAGTGTCAGTAAGGAAACTCTTCCTTGCAGCTAAAAATCCTGGAGGAGCTTCATAAAATGAGCAAACAACAACCAACCAAGGAGAAAACAAAGCTGTCATGTCCACTTCAGTCATAAAGAATATGTTCACCCTGCAGAGCATTCACGTTTCCTTTTGCTAGATCTGAAAAGTGGTTCTGTTTTTTCAGGAGTTTCAAATAAAGCAACATCTCATACTCTTAGGCTTCCTGCTTGTCCAAAGGCTTTCTGCCAGACTCCGACATGCTCGGGACAGAGCTATGCCAGGCAGGGCAGGGAAGCTGTCCCTGAATAATCACCCAACTCTCACAAATAACAAGCAATGGGGCAGAAGAAAGCGGCCTCAAGTGGTGCCAGAGGAGGTTTAGATTTAGATTGGATACTAGGAAAAATTTCTTCACCAAAAAGAACTGTTCACCCTGGAACAAGCTGCTCAGGAAAGCTCTGGAGTTGCCAGTCCCTGGAAGCATTCAAAAAAAGTGTAGCTCTGTCACTCAGGGACATGGTTTAGTGGTGAACACAGTGGTGCTGGGTTGGACTCGATGATCTTGGAGGTCTTTTCCAGCCTACATGATTCTGTGACTGTGATTCTGATGAGTGAGCCCTGAGCACAGGATGAGGATGCAGCATCAGTGCACTAAGCCCAGCCTGACTGACTCATGCAAAACTGAGCCAAATAAATGCCAGAACACTGGGATTGCTGCATGACAAAAGTTTCTAGCTACATGGCAACCCAGTGGCTGGGACCTGAGAGGATACATGTGTCCCTCAGAGCACTAATCCTGTATTGCACTTGCTAGAAGCCAGCGGTGGTGCCCAACACTGTGCACAGCTCTCCTCTCCCTGTTCAACTCCCTTTCTTCTTTGCATCTGCCCCACCCAACAAGGACACTATGGAGTGAACAAGGTCACACAGCAAAGTAACTACTGCCCAACACCATGTATGAAGCATTAGGCCCAGTACTCACATGAATTAAGAGAGAAACCTACCTTTATTTTCCTAGGCTTATTCATATAATTAATTAATATCTCAATCAGCCAAGAACAGGCAAAGACATAACAGTATTTCAGTGCATTCCTAGGGGAAATCCTGCACAGAGACAGCACAATTAATTTAGACAAGATCCATTTAGATAGCAAGTTAATTTTAATGGCTAGAAGTAGACAAGAGAACCATTTTTCAGAAAACACCTACAAAGTCAAGTATCTTTTCCCCTTACCTGTTATCTGTCTCCATTGAACATGGTTTTGTTTGAAGGCAAAGACAAGCAGAAAGCATAGCAAAACCTCTCTTGAATTTCTGCAGATTTCCAGGGCACTGAGGACAGGTAATAGAGAAACTCACTACTGCTTTACTGGGTATTCATATTTGCCCTCCTGCTCATGTACATTGAAACTGTATCAAAGCTTGAAATACATCTGGATAAACTATATTAAAATCAGTTCTCTTCTGTCCTCCCACTATTAGAAATACAGCTTGCCAGAGCTAAGTCAATTAATTAATTAGATATTTTTTTTGCCCATCTTGCAGTGATCTGACCAAACATGGTGGGGGGAAGGGGAGGGTGGAAATAGCAAATAATCCTCATTCAATTTATAAGCAAACTAGGTTACTGTAAAGTTGTCCTTGTCACAGAGTGCCAAAGTGCAGTATGCAGTTCTCGCCTCCTTGTGGGTTGCCATCTGCCATTGCACCTCCCTCTCCTTCCTCTGGCTCCCTGTTGGGTTAAAGTTGATGTCAGAGGCTTTGGCAAGCAGTGGGGGAAAAGAAATCCAACAATGTGAGTTTTCTACAGGCCAGTGCAGTCTGCTTCTAATATTGCTTCAGTCTGTGCCTTCAGGAAACAAAATTAAACAGAGTGCAGCTCTCAGTCCCTTAATCGCTGTAAAACAAGTGCACTGGAGAGCCCAGGAGATGGGATTGTTGCAGGGAAATGTTCTGCATTCTCACACCACACTGCAACACTCAGCAACTATGCCACACTGTAGTGAAGCTGGGCTTTTAAAGTTTGAATAATCCATCTTTGGGCATTTAAAAATTGCTTCCAGTGTTTGATTTCAACAACTGCATCTCTTAACAGCTCATGGGAGGCTATTCCTTGCGGTGTGAAGTTCTGTCTGTGCTTGCTCAGGTCATTCACTACACTCAAGCACAGATTAGGCTCCACTCAAGTAAAATTTCACTTTGAAATCATAAGGCAAAATGGGATCTGCTGATTGCCATGCAATAACCAGCAAACTGGAACTAAAGAAAATATCTGCTTTCTACCTCCCCAGTCAGCTTCTATCCAGGCTGCTTTTGCAGCACGAAATAAAAGTCCTGAGTGTTACTGACCAAGATGAGACATTCTCTGAAAAACAAAGCAGATTTCAATAACTGTTTTCTTCTATAGCTGACCCCAGCTATGGTGTTTATGGGAAAGGAGAATTAACTGACCACAAATGAAGAAGATTCCTCGGTTTGCCCAGGAAATCTTTCTTGTAGCTATCTCAAACCTACTTTTATGTCCAAATGGGTATTTGCTTTCCTGGCTTTTTCAGGAAAAAGAAGCAGGATACGGTGTAAGCTTACTAGTTTATGAAGTGTTGGTTATAATTTAATTTTATGCTTGTGCAAGACAGAGCCTGAACTTTTTGGGCAAGATTTGTTCAGTAAAGACCATGACATTCATGTCAAATACAAGGTCTGAATTTGGGTAAAAGAAATGTTCAGGAGAGGCTCTTTTATGTATGTGGTTCCATCATTTCATTCTCACATCATAGTGTAACAGAGGGAAATGAAGTCCAATGAGCTTTTAGGTAACTCTTGTTATAACCTATATTTTATTCTATTTTAAGTTTGTAAAAATTTAATTTTAAATGAAATAGACATGTCTGGCTCTTTGGAGTTAAGCAGGCAATTAATAGAAACCAGTGCAATCTAAGCACCCTGACTCACATTCCCAGAGGCAAAGAGCTGCTGTGGCTTAGGATGCTCTATTTTGCAGATTAGTTCTCTCACAGCAGTGTCAGCAATAAAATGTTTGCACCTCAGCCACAGCGATGCCAGAACAGACATATCACTGAAAACTCGTCTTCAACAGAGGTTTAAACAAGTATGCCTGCACCAGACCGGGAACAAATGTTTTCTTCTTCCAGCTCCTCTACAAAAATGTTATTTCTCAGCAGTGGGACAAGGATGATATCTGGGGATAGCAGGACTGGCTTTTTCAGAGCTTCTCTCTAGGTGCTGTGCAGCTGGTGAGCAAGATGTTTCCTCAGGTCCCTGTTCGATATTTCTGTCAGAGAAGGGATTAACAAAGGAAAGGTTTTCCTCCAAAGTTCACTGAATGACTGTCCATTTTTCCACACAAAAGGCAGCACTTAACCCCATCATTGCACTGAAAAGGAATATTCTTGACTGACTCCTCCCACAACAGTGGCTTATTTTATGTGAGGTGTAAAAAGATTTCACGCTAAGATAAATTAACAATTATTTGCCATGATGCAGCAACCTTCTCCTTTCAGAGTCATTCATGCAGCTTTACCCTGGGCAATATATATAGATCTATCTGTCCCGTGGCTATAAGTCTTCACACAAATCTGCCAGGCATTCAGCTCTAATACCCTTCACATGAGGCTACTGGTTCAGCTTATATCTATTGCTTAATCAATGAGCAATAAAACTCCAGCCACTGCTGAACTGCTGCTTCAGCTAATAAAGGCTTGGCCTGCTTTACCAGACTACCCTAATTACTAATAACAAAATAATGTAAGTAGATCTGATATATTTGGAAGTTGTATTTTTTGCTTTTACCAAAATGGAAACTCAGTAAGTCTTGGAGTTTTATTCCTCACTGAATTACTCTTTAATTGGACCTGTTTGCCTCAGCTGCTATTTGTAGCTGCAGCTCTCCCCCTACTCAGTGTAGGGGGAAATCTTTAACATCACCACCTACAGGGCCACAAAATTTTCTGAGGTAGACTGTAAAATACCACCATCCATCCCTGGCTAGATATAGATTTAATACCCATCCTTTTGCCCCAGTGGGTCAGAAAAACTGACTGGTGGTGTTGGACCTTCTCTGGACTGACAAAGATAATAGCAGCAGGCTTGGTTTGCACAAGTAGCAGACTGTAAAGGGACAGGCAGCAGCCTCATAAACACTAAAAACGTTAACAAATATCAATAATTTGTCATGTATTTCTGTTCCCTGTGCCTCTGTGTTACAGAGGGCACTGAGCCTGTGCATACAACAGAAACCTCTGGCTGGGCATAAAAGATCCTTGGACCTTAGCACACAACAGTGAGATTAACAAAGACAGTTTGGGGAATCTGGTCTGAAACAGCTCCATTCCTATCTCCTGAGGGCCTGAAGATTAAATAGCTACTGGGGAGCCCAAGCACTGGAGGTCTGTTGAGACAGGTAAGCTTACCTGGCCTGCAAGCAGTGGTTTGTAAATGGACTTCCAGGAAGGGTTCTGTGGAAAGAACTGCAGTGACACAGCGCTAAGGGCTCTTGCAGAAACACTACTCAGTGGCCGAGGGGAACAGATTGATCTCCTGATGAGCCAGCAGTGAAAGATCTTATGTCACTTTGTGTTTCCATGCTCTGAAAATATGCAGGTAGCTAGAATGCCTTACAACAAAAAAACCAATTACACAGAGTAGCACCCTTAGTGGTTATAGCACAGGAAAGATGTTTGTGAGAATTTTCCTGTATCTGTGCCCGTACTGCAGTCTTCTGGGGGAAGAAATATCTCTGCACTGTGCATAACATGGTTTTTATTTTAAAAGTCTGTTAAAATATTTTCAATTGGTGGATGAATTATATCCTTTCTAATGTGGTGTGCAAATGTTAACACTTTTACCATAATTTCCAGTCATTCTCATTTGAAATACTTTATTCAGAAATGCCTGGTTTGGTTCTCTCAGCAGAGTTTGCAAATGTAGATGGGGTAAATGGAGAAGTAGCCACTGCTCTCCAATTTCAGTAAGGCCTGGATCTCAGTGCAAGGTTTGCAGAAGTACCAGAGACAGAGTTGTTAGAAAAAGTGCATACATTGCATATATGCAGGCCAAGGCTGATCATCTTCCATACCGAGCTCTTTTTCATAGAATTATAGAGTAGTTTGGATTGGAAGGAACCTGTCTTCCATGTGCCTTAGTATAGCTTCTGGGAGGATCTGTTCTGAGATCTTCCCAGGTACAGAGGTGAGGATGACAGGATGCTAATTCCCAGGGTTCTCAAGGTACAATGTTTCCCTTTTTCCAGTCACCTGTAATTCACTTGACTGCCATGACTCTTCAAACATCATGGAGAGTGTCTTGGCAAGTACATCAGCCAATTCCCACAGAACTCTGGGATGCACCTCATCAACCCATGTATCTTCAAGTTCCTCAGGTGCTTCCAAACCTGATCTTCCCTTGCAGTACCCTCCAGGGAGGGTAAGACGTGTGGGAAGCCTGATCTTCCCTTGCAGTACCCTCCAGGGAGGGTAAGACGTGTGGGAAGAGAGGTTGCCAGTGAAGACAGAAGCAAAAAAGTTGCCTTCTCATTCACTGTTACCAGTTTGCCAGCATTGTTTACCTCTGTGTGTGTGTGTGTACGCCTTCTCTGAGCTTCCTTTTCTGGCTGACATACCTGTAGCAGCTCTTCTACCTCTATGGGAAAACAGTTTTAAGGGGCTGCCAGCTCTGATCGGCTCCCTTTTCTCTGAGGGCAGTTTCCCAGGGGAACCTACTGACTCCAGCTCCTTGAGGAGCTGGAATTTCTCATTCCTGAAAGCAGGGAAGGGTCCTGATTCTTTGCCTGACCCATATCCCTCAGGTCTGCAAACTCCACTGGTTTGTGATCACTGCAGTACAGGCTGACTCCAATCTTGATGTCCCCAGGTGGTTTGCTTGTGTTGGTGACCATCAGGTCCAGTATCATATCCCCACTGGTAGGGCTGTCTAATACCTAGCTTAGGAAGTCATCCTCCCTGCACTCCAAGAGTCTGCTGGATTTCCTACAGCTCACTGTGCTTTTTTCCCAGGTGTTGCAATTGCTGAACTCCCCCAGCAGGACAAGAGCCCATGAGCATGATTCCTTGTGCAGCCTATTCCTTCATCAATAGGCTCCCCACAAACAGTAAAAAAACAAATAAAAACTTCAGTGCAGCTCCACTACTATAAAATTCAAAGGTATTAATGGTTATATCTCAAAGAGGAGGATTATATGCAAATCTTGAGTTTAGATGATTATGCATGGCTCAGGTATCAGCCACACCTGGAATTATAAGCACTTCTAATCCACACAGTGTATAAATCAGTGCACTGATAAAAAGAGCCAAAAAATATGGTCCAGGGCAACAACAGTATTTTAGGCCTCAGTGCTTGTTTTGGCTGGGATAGAGTTAATTTTCTTCACAGTAACTGGTATGGGCAATACTTTGGATTTGTGCTGGAAATGGTGTTGATAACACAGGGATATTTTAGCTGTTGCTAAGCAGGGCTTGCACAGTGTCAAGGCTTTTTCTGTTGCTCACACCACCCCACCAGTGGGCAGGCTGGGTGTGGACAAGCAGTTTGGAGGGGGCACAGCCAGGACAGCTGACCCCAAATGACCAAAGGGATATCCCACGCCATATGGCATCATGCTCAGCATATAGAGCTGGGGGAAGAAGGAAGGTGGGGACATTTGGGGGTTATGGCTTTTGTCTTCCTGAGTCACTCTTACATGTGATGGAGCCCAGCTTCCCTGGGAATGGTTGAACACCTGCCTGTCCATGGGAAGGGGTGAATTAATTCCTTGTTCTGTTTTGCTTGTGCATTTTTGCTTTGCTTATTAAATTGTCTTTATGCGAACCAATGATTTTTCTCACTGTTACCCTCCTGATTCTCCACCCTCTGGTTCTGGTAGAGGACTGAGTGAGCAGCTCTGTGGTGCTGAAGAGTTGCCAGCTGAAGTTAAATCACAACCACCTGTAAAATAAATTTGTATTACATGGAGGATGTATAAGAAAAATTTTGTACTATCTAGCATAGACTACTCAAGAGAGAAACAAGCAGGCTTTATAAATACTATCCAACTGGCAGCACAAATGAAAGAAGGGAATTATTTAGTCTCAGAAAATAGCAGGTCAAGAAGAAAGGCCCTCAAGCTGGGGAAAGTTTAGATTACAAAAAGCTCTTCATGGAGCAATTAGATGGTCATATGTATATACCTAAAAAGAACTGAAAAATATGTGTTTTGATTGTTTAAAAGCCGCCATTAGAGTAAGTGTGCCAGAGCAAACCCCTTTTGAAAATTGTCAGCAGTCAAATGAGACATGCCCTTGGTACCTAGAATTAATAAAGGCAGCTAACTGGGAAATAGCTCTGGTGCCTGAGTCACCCTGTACCTGCTATTTTACATCTTTTGCAAAGTAGGCATAAAAATGCTAATATGTAGTCAGAATGAAATGTCATTATTCTGGCTGCAGTGAGCTTCACACTTGTTTTACTGTATTGTCAATTTCTGCATATGGCAGCATCAAATCCACTTCTCTTGCTGTATGTACTTAAGTAAACTTTAAAGAAAACAGAAAATGTCTTTGTCAGGAGGCCACACTGTCCTTTGAATGCATGGATAAGGACTGAGTGAGCTCAGTTCTGACACTGGTATCTATCCTTTTAGATATATTATTCCCCTCCCCAGTGAAGTCAATAGGAATAATAGTTTCCCCCCTTGTACACCTTTTATGGATCATATGCCAAAAGTACATGATGTGGTTTACTTTGGAGTTTTTTTCATTAATATCTGAAATGTAATCAGTGAAGCCAACAGTACTCCAGAAATAGGGATACAGTCTGATCTAAATAGCTTTTTTTTTTTCTGACAG